TCATTGCCACTTTTACATAAATTGTCAAAAAATGGCGTCTTTTGTTGAAATCGTAATCATTGATGATTACGTTAGTATATTGTGTTCCCTTATACACTACGTTATCTGTATATTTTTATCTTACGATATACATAGGTAGCTAGCAGACGGTGAATGTGAATTGCATTAGTAAAATACATTAAATAAGTATATCAAATAGTATCGAGTGGTAATCTGACGGGCAGTGAGGCCGTGTCGTCGTCACACAACATGCGAAGATAAAGTCCTGTCGATAATACTTGCACTTACGTGTAAAGACATACCCAATATGGAGATATAATAAGAAATATATTATTACGCTACATTAACACGTTTATATCTTATATCGTGATAATTAAGCTTCATGTACGCTGTAAATATTTTGGTTAAATTTTTAGAGTAGGTAACTTAAACTTAATAGTTTAATGAATTTCCTTGTTAAGTATATATAGTTTAGATAGAAAGGAACACGTGTAAGATACCAGCTATATAGGTACTATAAAACTTGATAATGTATTGTGTACTGCATAGAGATACCAGAGATTTAGTGATCTATATGGATGATTAAAATCGAGATCATAAAATATAAGCAAATGACAGCACATTAGTTTCTACATATATTTATGTGATACAGTTCATTATTTTAAGTTAACAAGATCAATAAAAGCGGTTATAGGTCTTTTCCAACTCGTATAAGTGTTTATTGAAGGCACACGATACACACTTTTTTGAAAAATGTTCGCTTAGTCGAAACATGTTTGATTTACAAACGATGTCTTATAAATATCTAGTTCTCGTAGTTTTCAAATATCAATAAGTGATTATGTATAATAATAATATCAATATATATCTGTTTATTTAATAGATAACAAAGCTATTTTGTTTTGATGCCCAAAGGTATAGAAAAAGGTGTAGAGTTGTTTATCTTTTTCACGAGTTTAAAAACGTGGTTACGTGTAAAGTTAAAAATAATTAACTAAACCGAATGTGGGTCACCAAACAAAGGTGGGGTTCGCAAAATAGTTGATTTTAACCATTTTATCTACCTTCGGTATAACATTGCAGAAATATTGATAAGATACGTTGACAGATAAAAATGTTTGTGTAAATAAAAGATGCATATTTTTCACTGATATCGTCTTTAAACCACTTGTCGAACGGCTTTTGCATTTCCTACAACTGGACAACATACTTTTATTATTTTATGCGTTTTGTGCAGTATATATTTCACTACGTAACGAGGACTATTGTCGGACTACAGTACCTAATGTAGCGTTACTGAACTTTGAGAGCTGATTGTGATTGTGGCTGCAAGACCGCAATGTGGTCGCCACCGTTTTGTATTCGGTTTATATATGCTTCATGGACTTCATAACATCAGGACAAATTGATGAAAAAACTACTACACACTTGTTTATAAAATGATTTGCGGAACATTTCTTGCGTGTTTCTTTTTATAATTCACAAATAATGGTAGTGATTTTGACCAATAAAATCTTTGTAGGGAGTTCGTCTTTGATTTCGATGTTGTTTCAACAAACGTACCAACATACTCTCTCAAGATTGAAGATAGTTCCTTTTAACTTCATAAAAACCATAATGGGAAAGTAAAAAATTACAGCCTATGTGCGTTACCTATATGGAAAAGTTTCGAAGAAATTGGTGGCTCAAAACAGATAGATTCAATTGAAATAGTAAAATGGATACAAAATTATTGGTAATTAAAGGTTTTAGAAAAATAACAAGGAAAGACGTTTAGTCACAATTTTAAGATAAATCTTTACAACGTTTTACGATGATGATACATACCTTCGACTTGACGTTGTTAACTGTTAACTGGTTTTCTTTTGTGACAACGCATAGGCATTAGGCAACATATATTGTATATATGTGTATGAGATTATAAATCCATCAAACATCATACTGAGTAGTGCAAAGCATAACTCCCTAGCTGTAATATTTACATTTAGGTGATCTGAAAATGTATCAGTACGTCGTAAACATATATGATTACTTAAATTAAATCAACTTTTATAAAATAAAGATATATCTTTCTCCATTATCAAATCAAAAGTTGACTTGTTCACAAGAAGCTTGCGGTACACAGTTACAGACTTACAGTAGTTACCTACAAGAAATTGAATTTATTGCGCGCACTTATCGGACGCAATCAAAACAGTATTTCTTATTTACATATTATGTCGTAGCAAATAGAGTCATCTGCGCGTAAAATGTGTCGTTAAAGTATAAAATAGGATCGGCTGTGGTTATGACCGCACTAGTCTAGGGTGAAACAAGAAAGCCTTGTGGAAACATTAGCTACAAGTGGAACGAGTCCTAGTCTCGTATCGCGGCGTAAGTGAAACTGCAGCAAGTTTATCAAATGCAATTTCATTATCTCGCAGACACCTGCCCGGGGAGCTATTCTCCTCACTAGGAAGAACATTACTCTATGATAAAATAATATCACTTGTAATTCTCACTTATATATCAAGTTACATAGTGCTTTCTTCAGCTCGTGTACTGCGCTGTTGATGGCCGAGAAAGTTAAATGGATTTATTCAAGTTGCATTCGTAACAGTCTGTAACAATCATATCTAAAGTACGACAGTCTATCTTACATTTTTGATCGGATAGGTACCCTTTTTTGTAAGGCTAGTAATAACTGCGTAGTTCGTACTCCTAGCAAATTGATTGAATAGATGAATAAATAAATAAATGCGTAATCATTTCATTTCATTCAACTATACACATTTTCATGATTATTTTCAAAATATTGACGTACCTAGATCAACAACAACGACATTAATTATAGTAGATCGAAATTGTGTTTGTTGACAGGCACTACAAGAAAATAATAATAGGTAGATATTACCAATATTTTGTTCTTAAATTTACGCAATAATCCAGGCCCCTGGACATTTTAAATATTTATTTATTAAATAAATATAAGAGAAGAAGAACATATGAAATCTTCCATTCTGCTGTAAACGAAATTGTCATACATATATTATTTTACACAAGATTATATTATTACACTCGGTGTGTATAATAATGTACCTACTCACAAAATCGGTGCATATGGATGTAGGAAAGCCGATTTTTGACAGTTTATTTTTTCCCTTTTCTTTAAAAAACGTTGCCCCATACCTACTAAGATTTTCCCCGGTGTCGTGGGTGCGTTTACAAACATGCAATATCACATACACATGACACCCAGACCCGAAACAACAATCTGTGGATCACATAAAGAGTTGTTCCGTGCGGGAATCGAACCCGCGGCATGGAGCGCGGCAGTTTCAACCACAAACAATATACATATAATTATTTTAGTTAATAGGATATGAGTGTAGGTTAAAGTAGGTAGGCATTATAGAAGATATTTTAAACTATTTATTTCTAGAGGTATGTACCTCTATAGTGTAGAACCTTCTATAGTACATACCTAATTTGTATGTTGTTATTCTGCAGACAATTGAATAGTTTAATTGATATAGTTAAATAAAATGGAAATTGTCCTGAAAGTTTAGAATATATACAAAGCCACGGATCCTCGACAAGGATCGCATCTACGGAGGTTTCTTTTTAACAGTTTTGTTGATTTGCCTAGCCTTTGTTTCGATGGTTATTCACGATGGCTGCGTGGTATCGATGGTATCGATGTTGTAGCTACGACTCTATGAACAGATGTCAACATTTTGATTGTTAACTATTACTTATAAATAAATTAAAAGTTTATGGCGCTGGAAGAAGATGAGCATACGTGGGGTCCAAGAAGACTTAATATAACTCTGTTGCTGTCCCAAACGTTAGGAATACAAACAATGTTGTTTCTGCCATTCACAGGTGTGTCCACGGGAGCTGCAGGACATGCTATAGTCTACTCCTTGATATACATTGTAATTGGGATTCCTCTGATGTACATGGAGAATATAGTGGGCCAGTTTACAGGCCGTGACTGCATCGAAGTGTGGAAAGCAAGGCCCTGTTTGTCACATTTTGGCTATGTTCACATTGTTTGGCAGTTGGTTTTTATAATTTATCTTTTTTCAATCAATTCATTCATAGTGCATTACTTCTTGATTAGCTTTGAAAACCCTCTTCCGTATTATATTTGTGGAACGTGGAGTACAGCGGACTGTAACATCTTAAAGACCAACTACACTGTCAACCAAGAATGTTTAAAGGTAAAAGAAGTAGAGCCTTATTGTTCAGCTGTCAGTCAATCATTTCCAGAAGTTCAATACTGGAGATCCAATATATTGGGAATAACAAAAAACGGTTTCCACTTGCCTTGGCGCGTAGGTCTTGCATCGGGTTTGCTTACCATTGTGTTATTCCTTAGTTGCTTCAAAGGAAGACGTTCCTTGCAATGGGCATTGATAGTTGTAGTAATACTTCCTACGAGCGGACGAATTCTATTTTTGATAGGATCCATGTTACAGAAGGGCGTAGTGGTCAAGTACGAAGAAGCATTTGATACGGATTTTACTATATTTATTACAAGATTTAGTTTGTCTACCTCAATAGCGGATGTGTTATATACTCTGAACATAGGAACGGGGTTGTCTTTTGCCTGCGCCTCTAAAACTGCTTTCAGAGCACCATGCTATTCCAACACAGTTATTGTGGTCGTCATTACCTTATGCGTTGCCCTGCTCGGAATCTGCAGCACAGTCATGATGATCTGTCCCTATGCTTTCAAGTACGATATCAACCCAAATATCGTCATGAACTATCAAATATCGCATATTTTCGAGAAAGTACCTCGATTTTTACATGTTTACGAACAAACATCAATATGGTTAATTGTTTCTTATAGCTTTATTGCATTATCTGCTTTATGTTTGAATATTTGCATCATGTCGAGTTTGATAGAGATGGCTTCAAAAAGATATTCAAAAATTGCTAGAAATCCAGGTATAACGACATTTGTCATAGCAATCACAATGTATCTTGGAACTGCCCCACTATTGGGAAACATGAGTATATACTTTTTAGTTGATGCGAAACGTATTATGAATATAGTAGGCATATTCTTGGTGATGTGTGAAAACTTTGTCTTCGTTTTATGGTATGGCTTGGAAAGGTTCTCTGAAGATGTGCACTTTATGCAGGGCGTGCAACCTAAGTCCTCGGTGAAGGCGTGTTGGCTGGTGTCGGGGTTCGTTCTCATATATGTGCTCGGTACGCAGCTCTATAAAGCATACATTGAGAAAAATGAAACGATGGGAAATACAATCGCGTGGTATTTCTTACTTATTAATATAGTGCTAACGATACTAGTGACAATAGTTAAACTTGTATATGCCATGTATAAGAAGAATTTGTACGATCAACTCAGTTTAGACTCAGAATGGGGACCAAAGAGTGAAATACTGAGACGTAGTAGAGCTATGTTCAGTGCTCAGGCGATGACTAAGGAGTACATGTATCGACAATATCACCTGCAGGCTGGAATACTGAAGAGGCAACAAAGGTCCAATATCAGAAATAAACAACCAGGAGTTCGGTTTGATGTTGAGAAAAAATCAATTGATTTTCGTATTTAACAAAGAAATGTCTTATTGTTGGGCCTCTATCTAACGACAAATTGTTAACAATGCGTTTTTTATTTGTATTAAAATGTACTTTATTCAAATGAGTGGCTTTTAATCCTTGATTGAGTCACTGTATTATGTTTATAATCTGTATCTATTATTGTAGAACAAGTATTGAGTATTGCGTAATACGCTAAGACGCCGATGAGTCATCGCCAAAAATATTGAAATACATGTACCAAATACTATAAAATAAATTATTACTTTTATGAGTATATATAATTAATTTATTCCGGAGGGAACATATAGTGACTCATAGCGACTTCTACAATACTATTGTGACAAACGAAAGAATCAAATAAATATGACCAATCTTAGGAGTCTTTACAACAATGCAGCACATAAAAATAAGAGACAACTTACAACCTTATCATACGATATACATAACCATTTTTTTCAGTAAACAAAAAATCATTTGGATAAATATAAAGCATTTTATGTTTTTGATATTTACTTAATCCAGAAGAGAAATATGATATAGAATGGGGCATGTGATTAAATTTATTGTTTGGTCTCTGAAAAGGCTGCTTGATCCTTTCTCATTCATTGTAACACACCTAGTACTAGCAGTGTAATTCTAACCATTTTACATCTCTAACAGTCATCCAATTTATTACCTTCTCGGAAGCTATAAAAAAGAAAGTGACCGGTTTCCTCTTCAGCCCCCGCCTCTCATGTCCGACTTTTGTCAAGAAAAAAGATATTCTTTAAAAAAAGTGGCGCGCCAAGCTGTCTGATACCAGCGTAGTGTTGCAATCGTGAACGCGGCCACGACTACTTCACCATGCGACATGTACAATAATTCTCTAGCTCGACACCCGTTGCTAGTGATTCGTGTTAAGCTAGCAATAGACTTCGAACTCCAACAACAAACTCGCTGTAACAATTAACCACCACGGTGACTTCTTCTTTCTGGCATCAGCCAGATTAGTGTAAAAAAACAGTTTTCGAAAAAAAAACATTCCCGATAAATACAATACTGTTTCATTTATTTTAATTGAGAAATTTTGATTAACAAAAAATTATCCATTGGAGTATTAAGACTAATAAAAACGAAGAGGATGGTTTTATTGATTTTTATCTAATTAACAAGAGGCAGGTATGCAGAAGGGTGGCGTGGATAAAGCATGTCCTTATTTATACAGCAGTTAGTATATAATATACGAGAGTTGGTAAGACGAGTGCAAATCCAGTCCGAGGCACATTGCGTCATACAAATGGAACATTTAGAATGTTTGACCCGACGTCAAGACCGACCAGTGGCGGCGCGCACTGGCGACGAGTCTCGCGAATTCCGACCATTGTCACGACATTACACCTATCGACTCCGCTACCAAATACATTAACCACAAAAGCTGCACAACCACTTGCTTGTCATTTAGTTTCAGTATTGCAAAACTTCATTTCGGTTTCGTTTGCGACCCAAAATCTTGGTTATCAATTTGTTTTGCCTCCGTTTTGTTTACTAAGTTTAAAATGTAAACGTCGCAATACTGCGTAATAAGGTTTTATTTCTGACTGACATTTTGCAGGTTCGTCCGTTTGAACTTTGACATTAAAACTACCTATACCACGCAGGTTGGAGATAAAAATGTTTTATTAAATCAGGGGTAAGTAGTAGGTAGATATTTAATTGTTGATAGTGCGGTTTATAACTATGAAACGCCCGATATTCAGTGGAATTTCTATTACTGCTTCTTTCAATCACGAAATGTTGCTGTACGTTTCAATGGAGCCAGCTCTTGATACTTCACTATACAAGTTTAATGTAAACGCGTAACAAAAACCTTATCTGTATTTGTAATTCAGCACTATTTTAAGGTAAACATCAGAGAAGCAAACCATTCATTCACTTAACTGCTAATTGCGCAGTTATCACCCAAACATTGCCATACCAAAAACTTTTGGACAAAATGACCGGGATAACTGCAATATCACTAATATGCTAATATGTTTGTAATGTTCCCGAACAAGTATTACTATGACATTATAATTATTGCAGAAAAATATTACCCGGGTAAAGCATCTTTAAAGAAAGCAGAGATCTACTCTTCAGCGGTTGAAACTTCAATAAACAATGTGTTGGTAAGTTTCGTAATCGCTAAATACGTTTGTAGTGGAATTCCATGACACCATCAGCTTACGTCTGCCGTTATCTGGTGGTGACACCCACACTTTGCTTCACTCTGCTTACACTTAAGAACACCGTTTGAAATTGCACAACATTGTTTAGGTTTTTTTCGAAAAAGACACCGTATCGGGTTGTTAAGTTATTGGTCGCAAGGTTGGTCTAAAAAGGCTGTCAACTGTTTAATGGTATTGTGGTGATATTTCTGTTTATCAGGCTCGATAGGTACCTATAGTAGGCTGTCTCCGAGAGCGACTCATCCATGTGCAGACACGTCACTCCGGCTACGTGTCTGTCTTACACAGCTTACACGGCGGCCCTAATACGTACTTTAGTAAATATACTCGACCCCATTACGTACAAAAAGGAAAAATACAGTCAGTGCCATTTTAGGGGACAAATTGTGACTATCGTAGAAAATCTTGTTAGGATAATAGGGTAGATGCCTAATTTTTATTTTAATGTCCGTCTGGTAGATTATTTTAAATCATTAGACACGTATTTTTTATTTTCTTACAGAAACGAATACTTTCGGCGATATATTGATTTGAAATGTCGCGTGACGTCACTTCTATGTACATTTTATAAGTAGAAATGACGTTTTCCCACTCCTAAATTTTGATTCGTTTTATCTATGTATTATTTTATAATACAGCAAAATAAAAAATACGTGTCTAATATTTTTTCATTACCTAACTTACGGACTAAATAGATTTTTAATTTTCATACACCGTCATCATCCCAATTGAACGTGAACTATTCTAAGGCTACCAATTGGTATCGTTATCCTTACTTATGTTGCACTTGAAATATTTAAGATTTTTTGTACAAGTGGACCTAATTTTGTAAGTAACTTATTAAAATATCAATTCTGTGCAATAATGATTGCACTTTACTTTTACAAAACAAATGAAGTCGATAAGATTATTTCGATTCAGCAAAATGAGGGAAATGTATTATTATGTATTTACAACCGAGTCATAATATGGACATATGGTTTATCATTTCTGACAAGTGGTCTATAATAGTGGCCGCCTGATCAGTTTAGTGGAGGCGCGCGCGCAGGTTGCGGGCCGGCTGTAGCCCGCGCGCTGCACGCGCACAGCAGCCGCGCGCGACATCACTCGCGTAACGGTGTGTTTTGTTTAAGAAAAGTCAATATCACACCCGCACGGCGCTAACACGTCCAATCAACGATTAAACAACGCACGATTAATTGTCAATAACTATACCCCCACTCATTAAGATTGTCTGCCGTAGAGTTAACGTGTTAAGTTATATTGTACCTTATACCTAAATATTTTATAACGATTTTCGTTTAAATTATTTTACGATTAATTTTACCTATAGAGTTTAAAAAGCTTCAATTTTTTGATTTCCAAATCCAAGGAATATAAACTAGAGTTATAAATTAGAATTACAAAAAACTAATTTGAATGTGTAGGTAAGGTATTATAAAGATATACTTAGGTAGACGACATTAGCTGTAAAATTAAAAAAGCATGCATGGTTAACATCTACATAAAATATGATACCCGAAAGGCTTATGACCAATATTTTTCTTTAAACTTGTTGAAAATAAAATCAATGACGATGTGCAAAAGGAGACATGTTGTGGCTTGTGAAACGGCATTTTGGAGACTTGACTCGACCGATAAGTCGTTTGAATGTGTCAATAAGAGATAACCAAAGCAAATAATAGAGTAAAGGCACCAAGTCGATGACACTGTTATAACTGTGACGAGGAAGGAAACTTGTCCACTATTGACATCGCTGAGACAAAGCTACGAATACAACATTTATTACATAGACAGCACCAATGATTTTTGTAGTACCGATCTCGCGAGGCAGATCTTTCCTAAAGACTTAGTTGCTAAAGTTTTAGACTTTAGGTTTGATCGTTCATTGCACAATTACTTAATAAAACTGACGTCATATTGGCAGACTTTTGCATTAGGTAACTAAGTGATGACCAAGAAATATCTAGATAGGTACGTACGTCAAACGAGAAAGTAGATAATGCCCTAAAGAAAACTTCTTAGATGTTTCTTAATCGGTTATCATCTTCTTAACGGAATGATGTAAACATTCACTAACAATATCAAACTGCAATCAAACCGAATTAAAAAACAATATTACACAAAATATTAATAAATTTAAATGAAATAAAATTCATGTTCTCAAAATAAAGAATAACATTGAACACGACAACTTAAAAAACAAAACCCACTACTTTCTTATTATCACGATTCTAGTTGGAGGCTCACTTCGTTAGCGATCGATCATTAAATCAAAGCTGTTTCATTCGATTATTACGATTCAATTTCCCAATAAAAATTTGAGACATTAATTGTATATCAATAAAAAGTTGTTAGCTGTGTCCGGTGGACTGCGGAGTAGTATCACAAGACCACAAGTCCCATTCTGCTTCATTCCACAAGTAGCGATCAACAAAAAACTGACACGTGCCCCACATTACGATAACTTAAGCCCAGCCTCCATTAATATACAACAGAATAGATCATAATTCACTGCGCACATTTGTCTAAGTGTGCTGACTTGCGCGTTTCATTATATTTTATAACTACTTTTTGATATTGATAATAAATTCAGCAATGTACACGGCACGTGCACTATGAATAGTGTTTAGAGAAAATTAATCGTTCGTGGATTTTGCTGGCCTGTGATGTTTATGTAGTTTAGTGATATAAAAATGTGACAGATATGGAAACATTATGATGTGGTTGATTTGGTCCCAGTGTTAAAGCGGCGGTGGCAGTGGCGGCGGCGGTCGAGTATGTGCGGCGTGTGTGAGGTTGCCGCA